CCATCCATCCATCAGATCATCCTTTGTCCACGCAAAAAAGGGCTCCCCACGATGACTTTGGAATGTTCATAAACCGCAATGGAAACAGGGAAAACACAATGCGAGGCCGCTTGGCGCAATGGTAGCGCGTCTGACTACGACTTGGTGCTGGAGCTCATGTGAGCTCGAGACAGAACATCGTCATCAGGAGGTCGCAGGTTCGACCCCTGCAGTGGTCAATTTGATTTTGTTTTTGTTTCGGTGCTTTCGCTGGTCATTTTGATTTTGTTCGTCTTTCGGTGCTTTCGCTGGTCATTTTGATTTGGTCTGTTTTTTTTTTCGGTGCTTTGACGACGCGCTTTTGTTGTCGTTCTTCCTTTGGTCTGCGAATGGCTGGCTGGGAATACAAGCAAGAATGTTCAGAGTTGATGGAAAGAAAGAAAGCTTGCGCGTGTCGAGTGCAGAGGTTGTGTGTAGTAGCCGCCCGCGCGATGGCGCAGATGTGTAAATGTAACGCCGCCGTCGAGGATCGCGTGATGGCGCGCAGATGTGTAGGTAAATACCCTGTACCTACCGCCGCCGCCGCCGCCGCCGTTGAGGATAGCGAGCGTTCTGGCGGGCGTGCGCGTGCGCGTGCGCGTGGAGCATCTCTGCGCGAACGCTTGCTGCTGCTTGCAGCTACATAATAGATAGCCATCCTGATGCGTACGTAAGTCGTGGTCTTTGACTTTGATTCTTCTCATTCCCGCACCTGGCTCACGTCCGCACCAGCTCGATCGACTCTGCATGTGCTGGTCCTTCTGAACCGTGGGCTTGGGTCCGGAACTCCGCCCCTCCAACATGACTCTTTGCCGTCTGAGAAGGCATGAGTTCGACAGATGCGTACGGGTCGGCCTGCTGGTGCACCGAACGAACTTCCCTTCCTGCTCGCACTCGAGCGCTTATGCTGTATTGTACATCTGACATGGGCACCAGCCAGCACTCACACTCTTGAACGTACCGAGCATACGCTTTCAAAGAGTGCAGCGTACCTCACTCGGTGAGATCGATCGCGCTGACGAGACGAACAGGCTCTTGGGATTGTGAATCACAAACGTGGATGCCACTCTGAAAGAGTCTTGATCCAGCGGTGCGCGTGCATTAGTCACCAGGTCCGACGGGCGTGCAAATATCAAGCCGTGCAACACGACCGACTATCGATACATGTAGCGCTATTACCCTTGCTCTCGCGATTCGTGTCGCAAGCGGGGTGACGTAGGGAAACGTCAATGCTGACCAGAACAAAGCAAGATTGTAAAGGTT